TTCCACCTATAATGTCCTGTACAATGACCAAGTGTTGTTATAATTTCTAAGTTGTTCTTCGCTAAGTTCAAGCAGTTCTTGTATGTACTTTGATTTACAGGCCTCTGTGAGCGTTTCGGAATATAATATACCTATATCGTGGGTTAATCCAGTATAGTTTTCTTTGAATTTTTTTTTTATTTTCTTATAAAAATATTATTTTTTTTCCAAGGGAAGGTACTATTGGCATCGCTAATAAAGCTATTATTGTTGTGTACTTTAGAACCTGATTTTGAAGTTTAATAGAGAAATTACTTTCAATATTAACAAATAAAATTAACTATATAAGTATGTACCTAAGTCAGTTTAATATAGTTTAATGTTTGAATCAGTAGATTTAAAGACTTGATTTATTTAATTTAAATTTTATATTGAAATTCGTTGCATAAATTCTAGTTGATCGAAAACCACCGATGAAGGTTTTTTCATAATGTTGAACTAAAATATAATAAAATTACTTGATTTTATTTCAACAATTTAAAATTTTTTTTTTTTGCAGTATATGGAAAACATCGAAAGTCACAGTGAGGACTTGAACCCACTAAAACCATGTCTTAGGAATGAATGGAAAAGATTTCACAACAATGTGAAAACTTCATTCCAGTAATCAGGGGAGAGATATGAGAACAGATAGGCTTAATACGTAATGGACTAGGTTCATCTAAACCAGAAAGCATGGTTGTGAATTAGGGAAAATGGAAAATGTTGAAGTGGGTGGGGTACTTCAAAAAATAAAAAACTAAACTGGCACTTAAAACATATGTTTAGCTTATTAGCTACTGGATTATTGTCTTCGTTTCAATTCTAGTGGAATTCTTATATTAATTCAATGCAAAACAGTTTAATTTATTTTTCTTTTTTTACTGTATTTCATACATGTGTAAACTATCTTCAATATTTATAACCACATAATGTAATAACTGTCTGTATTTTATTTAAAAAAAATAAAGTATTCAATCTCCCATAAATAAAAGAATTCATATTCTTCATTAAATAATAATATAGAAAATAATTTTATGGTATCTAATAAAACTTTTAATGAATACCCACAATTTAGAATATTAAATCAGTTGTTCTATAATCCTAACATTTTTTCGGTGTTTGAATTGGACATTTTGAAATGACTATAAAGAATATTCCATACGGTTTATTGTGAAATATCTTTGAAATGTGTATTTCATGAATGCAGAAGGCGTCATGTAATGCTGGTAACGTAACTCTTTTTATATCGAATAAACCATATTTTTTATGCCTTGATATGAGTTCGTAAATTTTTAATTAAATAATTTATACATTGCGTATTGATTACTTTTATCAATCTAACACAGACAATTTATCTGAAAAGTCAATAATTGCTCAATTGTTAAAAATAAATTTTTTAATGTTTAACTAAAAAATCAGAACATTTTAAATACAGACTTCGATAATAGATATAATATATAAATTTTTTTTTTGTTATTTATCTTTAACTTGGTAAATTCATTGCTTATAACAATAATGCTATGCAACTGAATATTTATAATTAATAATAATAGAAATTCAGAATGTTGTGTCATAATGGAAACCTCCAACAAATATCGCAGATATTCTTTGAAGATAGCGAAATAACAAATTGAAATTGTTAAGATTAAACACAATAGTTTCGTAGATGGAACGTGATGAGAAGTATGAAATTATTTTCTGCAAGACTAAGGTAGTATCTCAGTTTTTCTCAGTTTTCTTTTGACATTATTCTTGACTTATATTGAAATAACATCAGTTTTGATGCAATAAGAGTTCTATTGTTGTGATGTATATATAAATATAATTCTGTCACTATTATACATTTATGCATTTATAGACCCACAGAGGTGGCGCATAGACCCTCTGCTATCAATTTAAATATTTTTATCTCGTTTTATGAATAATTTTCATTCATAAATTTTCGTTTCACTATTCTTCTTTAAGTCATGGCCATCGCATCAGGTCGTTAGTAACCTGTAGGTTTCAGCTGATAGCCTCTCCAGCAATATTATTATTTGGTTTGTCGTATCTAGGCCCATTTGCGTTTCTAAATTTCTTGTGTTGCTTTAGTTTGGCCTGTTCAATCCCACAGGTCGATATTGGATATTATTTACGGGCACGAGTTGCGTGAAATTTATCGTACATATTGATTTAAGCAAGTATAAATTTTAGACCGGATTGCAATGTTATTGTGTCATGTCTCACTTCCATACTATAAAACTTCCTTTAAGTTGGTACTGAATATGAAAGTTTTGCAAAGGTGGACATATGACTGTATTTCGTTATCTTTTAAAGTTGAATAGGATCTCTCGTATTGATTCTGGTAATAAATTCTTCCTCTGCTTTATTTTCCTTGTTATAATGTTATTGACTGCATCCATTATAGCTGCTCGGTTTACAATAGAAACTGCTCATAGTTTTACTACGAAAAACGTTTGTAGAATATAAGGCTACTTAAGAGGCTGAAACAATATGGCTCCAGGACACACATTATAAGCATAATTTAAATCTCTCAGTCGAGTAAATTTCATCTATTAGATCCCATATCGTGCATTATTTAATTTAATTTATTGAGATATTGTAATTTATTGAGATACAAGTTTAAGTATAAAACTTTTCTCTGTGTGTTAACATATATGTTTTTTTTTGCTGTACTACATGACAAAATATTAATTAGCCGTTTAAATTTGACTATATTATAATGGTAATTTTCAAAAAATATTAATCCCGATTGTCTATTACCTTTGGGATTATTGAGTTTCTTATAATTTGACCTCTTGTATATTACTGTTATTTCAGTTTAACTTTAGTAAAATACACTGTCATGTATCAATAATAGTAAAACAGTCGTTTTAATTGATTATTGCAATATATCTAAGCAATCTTTAATTAGGATTTACTTTTTGTTATATGAAGTATGGTAACTAGCGAATATTTTAAGTGAGTTACTATTGTAGGTAGATACTAATATCCATGTCAAACAATATCTAATTTCTATTCAGAACAAAATTTATATCATGAAATTGATTGAATTTCTGGTTTCTCGTTGGTTTTATTTTATTGTGAATTACAATTTAATATTAATTTTTTTTTACTTTTTATGAGAGTTATATTTATATAAAAATAATAGAAATAAAATGTTAATGTCTTAATCACTATCTAACTTTTGTCTAATTAATGTTAACTAAATTTAGAAATAAGAAATAGAGTGACTCATTCATTTGTACAATTAAAAAAGTATATAACATATGTTAAAATTACTAACTTTTAATTTTAACTACATGCTATCTAATTTTGTAATCAAATTTATATATAGTAAAAAAATTGTACGTTACTCATTTATTTAATTAGATAAAAATATAACATATCTAAATTTTTTATCCAATATTAGGTCTTGATAGCGAACATTTTTTTCTTCTCAACACATTTCTTATTAATCTCAAATTAGTATTTTTTCCACATATTTTTTTTACCACCAGATGAACTTGCTTCTAAAATGAGGTTTTAACTAAAGTAAATCTGTTTTAAAAATACTGTGTCAGGATACAGCTTTGGGCAACTTTAATTATAATTAAAATAGAGTGTGTTAATTATAATAATTGGTTTGTTCGAAATATAATAAAAATGAAAAAAAATTATTAAAAATGAAAGATGTTTTTCTTATAATTTATAAACATTTAAATGAATTATTTATTTGTTGTTACAGAGCATGATTTTACTCTAAACTCTAAAGTTGCGATATTTGCTGAAAAACAGTTATTCTGTGCTGAACTTTTTAAAAAAAGATAGGTAGACTCAACGATATGTAGGAATCTGTATGCAATTTGGCCACAGAAATGCAATATTTCTACTGAGATGCCCCGTAGAGATATCAGTCATGTGTTAGGTTTACTCACAGGTTATTGCAGATTAGGAGACCATACTAGTAGATTGAATCTTCCTTTCCATTATATGTTTCGCAGTTGTGAAGAGGACAATAAAGTGCCTCTCATCTGTTTTGTTCTTGGCCAGCACATGCGCAGCGCCACCTTACTACTATAGGAACCTCATTTTTTGACAATCTTGGTTAACTGCAAGACCTATCTTTAAATAGCATTTTAAACTTTGTCAAAGATTCAAGTTGGTTTTAAATCTCTGAGTTTCTCTCATATACGGTAACATGATTCGCCAATAGGCCTAAGTGGATCTCATCGCTTCACCAGTAGAAGTTAACCTAACCTAAATTAATGAAGATATTAAAATTAAATAGAAATAAATAATTAACATTTAAATATTAAATATTTAAATATTTGATGGGCTTTCTTTTCTATCAGCAGTATTAGCCTATTTTATTGATCTGAAAATATTGAATTCTGATTATCTAATTTCCATTCTATCACAGTTAAGCCTCAAAGCTTATTTGACGATAATTTGACCTAAGAAATATTATTTGCAATAATATCCCAGAGATAGATATTATAACATCAGCATATTAACTAATTGATTTGCTATATAAATTGTGTTTGTATTGTTAAGTTCAACAACTATAATTATGTTATAGCTTGTTCAAACAACTATAATATATAAATTTGGTTTATTACAGTTTTCTGTTTATATGAGCTCAAAATTTTTCCTTTGAGGGTACAAATTAGATATGCGATTCACTTATACCCTAGTCACTAACGGCACACGAGTTGTTGTAAAGAATTCTAGGTAATTGAGTTGTATTGAATTGTAAGTAGTTTCTATTTAATGATATTTACAATTAAAAGTAATGAACTCATTAACCAAGTAACATAGTCAAGTTTCAAAGCAGCAAAAATGGAATTAGTTTTGAGGATAAGTTTCTGTTATTATTTTACTCGATTACTGAGCTCGTTACTCGAGATCGTGATTACTACAATTGTGTTATGAAAACCGCCCCCTAATCTTTTGAGATTCAACTAAGAATTTGTTTTTAATTATTTTTTCACATAGAATTCTATTGTGCAAAGCATATTTCTTTATTAAATTTGTATATAAATTACATATGAAAAAATTATATCAATCAAATGTAAAGAAGTGTTATAATTCTGTATACGTATGTGCTTACGTATTTAACGTATATTAAACAGATATTGTGACATGTTGCCAAAGTGTTTTATTCAGCCGTTCGAATTCAGATAAACGTGCATTCAAATCGTTGATCATTGCAAATGCAGTATCAAATTTCTGTTCATAAAAGCGAACTATAGCTTTTAATTCATTTCGTAATTTTTCTATCTCCTTCTGTTCTGTAAGACTAGATGCTTTCAATTGTTCTGACTTTTGTATTTTGCTATCTTCATTTGAACTATTCATACCCTCACTTGAATTCATTACTTCATTTTCGATCTCATTGTCAGCGCGATACATGCAAGCAATGCCGTGTATGTATTCTCCTGGAAAATCTGGATCGTAGTCGTCAGTTGTGGTGCTAATACCATTGGGTAGAATTAACACATTCATAATCATATTCAAATTGAAACAGTTCCAGTTATTTGCATTTATGTAAAGATGATGTAGATTTTTTAGGTATCTGAAGCTGAGAGGATCAATTGCAGTTAAGTTGTTGTACGATAAATTTAAAGTACGTAAATTTGTTTGTGTGGCTAATGCATCGATTGGCAGATTGGTAAGACTTGTATTACTGAGATCGAGTCTTTCAAGCGAATTTGCAATCCAATATTCTGGCCATGTCTGTGGTCCCAAACTTGGATTATTACTCAAATTTAAAGTGCGTAAATTAGTTGCTCTCGTTAATGACGCTATTTGTTCTAAATTATTGTTCCGTAAATTCAGAGTTTCAAGCTTTTCTGGCTCTGTGAAGTATAGTTCAGTAATACGATTGTCGCTGAAATCGGCATTTTCTATGGCACCATAAATATTGACACGGTTCAGCGAGCAATTTGTAGCAACCAAATTATTTGCGCGTAAATTCAGTACAATAGCCTCCAGTTTTGGATTATGAGAAATGAGTAATAATATTAAATCTTGTTGCGAATTGAATGCATATTCATCCATATCACTCAAATCGTTCCTAGCTAAAGCTATTGTCTGTAATTGTGAGTTATTTGCAAACATTTCATTGCTAATATTAGTTAATTGATTGTTTTGTAATTTGATATCAAATAATTTTGGCAAACATTGAAAGATATTGTCCGGTAAATCTTTTAAAGAGTTTTTAGACAAATCCAAATACTTCAATTTCGTCAAACCTTTAAATGTTTCGCTGTGTAATGTATGTATATTGTTTTCATCTAAAAACAGAAATTGCAATTCGGAAGCATAGTTGAATGTGAATCTATCAATTGTTTTAATTTTATTATTCGATAAAAGTAAAATTGTTAACTTATCAGCCATAACGAAACATTCCCAAGTAACCGATTCAATAGAACAATGCCTCAAGTCCAATTCTTCAAGGTCAAATGTATAGAACATATTGAGTGGAAAGTGCGCAAATGTCGAATTCACGAAGGTTAAAGTTTTGTCATTTTTCCGGGCGACAATATCGTAGGTGGACTCATCCTTAATACGAACTTCAGCTTTAAGATCGAAAAATGCTACTTCGGTAATATTTTCAAATTTAAAATCTTTGCAGATCGCATCCACACAATTATCATCAATATTGGTAATCCTTTTTAGCGTGTTGTTTGACTCTTCCTCCACAACATCCTCGTAAGCATTTGAATTAGTTAATATGTTAAATGACAGAAGCGCAACGATTACGAATTGGATCATCATTTTAAATATAAGGACGGAGTTTAAATATTTTAAAGTTGATTTCAGTATAATTTTATTCCACACACGCCAACGATCGCGTTTTAACTGAATTCACTGTTGAGTGAACAATTTTTGTGCTGAATTACTTTTTTTAAAAATTCTGAAAATAATTGATATTATTTGTGTTAATTTTTCCCTATTTAATTTAATATTCTAACATATACTAAGACAATTTGATTGACCTTTACCTAAACTTTTTATTTTTATTTTGATTCTGTGTTAAAATTATTTTTATATTTTGCATTGAATTCAAAGCTAATCTCGTGCTAAGCTTTTATTTATAAATTTATTTAAATTTTTTCTATTTGTTTATTAAAGTTAATCGGAAACAAATGAGCAAAATATATACAAAATATAGTGAATAAGTTAAAAATTCATTTTGTTTATTTTGTTTATATAAAAAACTTAATTAAGAACAAAAAAATTTCTCTCTTTGTTTAACTGAGTAATCTAAGTGATTACCTAGATTCCATATAGTAAATATATTTTTCTTTTTCTTGGGCTCAGCGTTCATTTCCAATTTAACTCGAATAATATCTTATAAAAAAATTAGTTAATTGATATAAAATATTTTAATATAATTAATATTGAAGCGTTATAAATTTTCTCTTATTTATTTATAAACCATATTTAATGTAGTTTATAATTTCAAAAATCAAGGTATACAAAGTAAACAGATCTTTTTTAAAATATGCATTTGGAGTGAGGCCCTGCAATAATTCAAGTGTAGTCACTTTCAATGGAATATGTGGTGCTCAATGCGTTATTTATCATTTATATCCTTATGACCATGTACACCAATCTGCTATGCGAAAACAATTATCATCTTAAACTTAGTTCATTTACGACAAAATATTTAATATTAACTCTTTGTGCGGTGCTTTTTTTAAAAAGATAATATAAATAGATGAAACAATGTTAGTATCATTTTATACACACAATAACTCTCAGTTTATTTTTCCAAATGTCATATAATTTTGACAGCACATCAATCTATGATATATGCTTATCAAGGTAAACTGGGGGCTTCCCTACAAATACTTGTTTTTAAAATACATATTCTTTTATTATATTAACAAAATTGTAAAGTTTAAAAAAATTTTATTTATGGCTAACAACTGGAACGTATTCGTAACTTTTTCCATTTAAAAAAAACTTAACTTAATTCGAAGCGATGCTTGTAGGAAATGCAACGAACCAGTTGCAAAGGAGCATCTGGAGCATCTGCAGTGTAACTGCTCGGGTGTCTCGAGCACTAGACAAAAATACTTGGGGGCCGTCAGTTTTACAAGACTAAGATTGTTGTTGAACTCTTAATACAATTCGCTAAAAATAACAATTTGATCTGGTTTCGCAATGGACCTTAATGGTTTGCGCTTGGCTTTTTTGGTCTGTCAGCATAACCTAACTTAACCTTTATATGTGTTAATTTAAGTATTTGTTAATTGTGTCTAGCGTTAAGTGTGTTTCTGCAATAATCATCTATTTTTTTATATAGTTTAAAGTTATTGTTAACTATTTTAAGGCATGTTAAAATAATAGGTTGAGTTACGATATTTCAAGTTCAAGTTTAAAGTACTTTTTTAATTTAAATCAATTGAATTATTTGAAATATACTCATTAATCTTCCATTCATGAGATGAATGATCTTATTAAATATGCATATGTGCTACTCGTATCAATACTTGATATTATTATTGTATGACTTAATATTAATTAAAAAGAATCATAAACTGTAACTGTTGACTACAAGAGAATTTATGGAGGACTTTATTTTAAAATTAATATATTTGAATTTGTTTAATATGACAAAAAAATAATTAATTTCTTTTTTTTGTTAATATTATATTTAAATAATGTATGACTTAAACTAGTTATACTACTTTTAAATATGTAAATATTCCAGCAAGCTATATAGCTATATAGTATAATAAATTATATAATATATATGCATGCTTACGAGAATATGTGTTGATAACGTCATTGGGTCGATTTTTAATGAATTTACACAAAAAACAAATTTAATTATACTTCAGACCGCTAAAATGAGACGAACAAATTGATTTTATATATTAACTGCAGTTGCAATATCAAAAACGTGCCAGTTTTACTAAATTGACTGAATGCACTATTTTGTATTTTTCTTATGTAAATAAATTGTATAAATACATGATTATAATTCTTTTACGATCATTAACTGCTAATGAAATTAATTTCATTAAGATTTTTTAAACAAGTTCTATTTTTTTTGTTTGTTTTCATTCATATGAAACCTTAATATTTGGTTTGGCAAAAAGTTTTCGGCATTTTAAGTCAAAATTGGAAACATATTTTTTATTTAAAAAACAATATTATTAATTCAAATATTTTAGATTTTTTTGAATCACTCCATATTATCTTTCCACATTATTTATTTCGGAGAAATCTCGCACTTTTGTCCATTAGTTTCCGCCTATAAAGAGCTGACCGTCCACCTATTAATTTAGTAATTTGATAAAGTTTAACTGCTTTCTTATTAAACCACCTAACATTTACTTCAATGAAATTAAACCCATTGGGTTTTTATTAATACGGTAGCATAATGAGCATATAGGTCTAAGTGGATCCCTTGGGATCGTCGGTTTAACCTAACCTAACTTAACTTTTGCGCCAAGCTACTATTTTTTGTTTCGAAAGCAGAAGAAAAGTTCGGATCAACAAAAGGTTTTTAACTATATTGAGAAACAATAGAAAAAACTAAGTCATTGAACTTGATTAAAAGGATGATTCTAGAAACTTTGAATAGTGTGTATTTAACTGGATTAAAAAAATTTGTACTTCATTGAAAAGCACACATAGTTTGTTATTCAACTCAACCCTGTAGTTTAAAACTCTTACGATCAAAAAGTTTACTTTCAAACTATTAGTAATAAAACTGTTGAATCTTTTTTTACTTAATCACATTTTTTCCGCTTTCATAGATATTTTAAACTATTTACTCATAAATTATGTAAGTTTTCTATAAAAAAAAGAAATAAATAGAAATATATTATAAGTTGTTTTTTGTTTATGATTTAATCAATAGTAATTATAATTTAATCGAAACTCATGAAGCCAAGCCGTCGTCAAAATGTCTCTAACAATCTCATCAAATTTAAATCAAAATATTAAAAACAATAATAAAAAAATAATCATTTCTAATATATACAACACCTAATATCAAAATATTTATTTAATGCATTTGCTCATATTTTAAATACTATTATGGCGTATGGTTCTGGTACTAAGCAAACAACAAATTAACGACTTAACCCTCCTATGTGTTGTTATCAATATAATTACTTTCTTATCAATTGCTGATCCACAAAAAAAATTGCTAATAATTACGTTTATAACGAATAATAACAAAATAAGAACAAAACATGATTAGAATTATCAGTAATAATTTTATCGTTTTTCCAACTGGGATTTTTATTTAAAATATTTTTTTTAAATTTTTACAATTATTTCTTTAACATTTTTACTTTTCACAAATATTGTATAAGAAAAATTATTTATAAACAATTTGTTAACTTAGTTACGCAAACCTATATTTTTATCCACGATAGTCATTATCAGAAGATAATTTCTGAAGTGAAATGTGTTCTGAAATCAAATCTAATTTTAAAGTTATCAAAATGTCGCTTTAGGATTTTAACTGCGAATTAAGTATCTGTTTGGTTTACTCATATTATTTATGAACAATTATTATTATAATTATGCTTGAAAAATATTATCTAAATATCTTATACCTTCTGAGTTTATAGAGATTAATACAATCATCAAAGTTAATTCTACTTTTTAAAGAATTCAAAAACGAAACGAAGTTTAATTCTGTTAAATTAACTCACAGTATTCACAATTCCTATTTAATACATCAGTGCCTAGATAAATGTGTCTGAAACTTGATTCGAAAAAAATAGAGGATAGAGAGAATATTGTAGAAATTGTGGAGATGACGAGAATTAAAAAATAATATGACATCTCTCACCTATAGTTGTTAAGCTCTATCCACACGTAAAACGAACTATGTAATAAACTGTATAACTATGTAATCATGACTTTAGCTTTCTTACAGAAGTATTTAGCTTTAGGCTTAAAAACGTCCTGTACTTCATTAGAATTAGATCTATTATAGGATCTATAATTTCCGACAATTAACAAACAGTCAAGGACATATGCTAGTAGTGATATCACAGTAGACTCTTACTATGTTAGTCAATTACTCTGAATACCAGAGTATCCCACCACAATTTTTCCTAAAACTAAGAAAATGTGTCAGACTCGAGCTTTTGAAACAAGATTCAAAAATTAATTCTTAAAAATCTTTTCACAAATTATATATCACTTTAAAAGAAAATAGTTTTTTTTTAATTAAATAAATAATACTTTTAATAAAGTTCCATTAAATGGAAAATATTATATTTCAATAAATATCTTCAAATTTAATACAAAGGTAAAAAGAGAAACAGTTTCCATAAAATGGTATTCACACAATACATACCTAGGTATATCGGTGTGAAAATATCTCTCAGAAACCGTTTCCGTTCTAATGAATAACTTCAACAAACATTAATAGCTATTTGGCATAAATTTTGCTTACACAAATATAAAACCCTCATTTTAGAAAAACTAGTTTTTGTTAAATATTGTAAAATATATTAACAGTGACTCAAAAAAGAACTCCGACACATAAAGTCTAAAATATTAAAATAAGAAAATATCGTCGATAAAAAAATTATTGAAGTTTTTATGTTTTTACAGCGATTAAAACTACGAAATTTAGGTCAAAGAATTTATCAGATATTGACGAGTGATATTACTTGAAAGTGGCACAAATATATAAAAAAAATTATTATTTATTTCCATAATAAACTTAACATAAAATATAGTTAGAATTGCTAGTCAAGTATTAGTCAAGTATAAATTTTTCAAAAGCAGAACTAATTTATATATGCCATTAAATTATTATGGTTAAAATTTTAGCACTAAAAAGTGCAGTTGGACATTTTTCAAATTTACT